GCTTCGCCTCCCGCCGTGGCGCTCAGCTGACTCCTGCGCTGCTCAGCCAGGCTGCCTCATGGGAGCAAGCGGCGCAAGCGACCCTTTAGGCTCCGCACCCCCCATGCAGGACGGGGAGTGCCTAGCCCAAACGGCCATTTGGGCTCTGCGGTCCCCCGAGCGAGAGGCAGGGGAGCTTCGCCTCCCGCCGTGGCGCTCAGCTGACTCCTGCGCTGCTCAGCCAGGCTGCCTCATGGGAGCAAGCGGCGCAAGCGACCCTTTAGGCTCCGCACCCCCCATGCAGGACGGGGAGTGCCTAGCCCAAACGGCCATTTGGGCTCTGCGGTCCCCCGAGCGAGAGGCAGGGGAGGGAGAAGTGAAAGAGAGAGGCAGGAGGCGGAGGAGAGCTGAGAGAGAGAGACGGGGAGGCAGTAGGAAGTGGGGGAGGCAGTAGGAGGAGGAGAAGAGAGGAGAGAGAGAGAGAGAGAGAGACGGAGCAAGAGACCGGAGGCTCAGGAGAGAAGACCGACGTGGAGGAGAGACCTGAACATCCCATCTTATGACGGGCTAATTGGCTAGTTTTGCTATGAGATTTATCCAGGTTTTTCCCCCTCAGTACATCTACTCGCCTGATTATTTGCAGAGGCTGCCCAACCATGTGCTGTATGGTAACATATTTGTGTTCAGAGTTACCATCAATATCTTGCCTCACAGCGTCAGTCCTAGTCCCCATTTCTGAAGATAAGAGGCTCCTCTGTGATTATGCTATGAAGAAGCTAGGGAGTACATTGAATTAAATAATGTAATAATGGAGAAACAAATCAAGAGCTTAATCCTGCAAGGACCCTGAGCCCTTTGCTCGGCTCTCCTCGCAGACCAGCTCCCACCTGCCATCCCACACTGCTACCTGATATGGAGGTAGCAGTGCGGGATGGCAGGGAGCTCCCCCAGGCCAGGAGTGCTGCTGCCATGGAACAGCCTCTGTCCGCAGCAGGCTCAGGCTCAACTATGGGATGGTGGAGCCGCCTCTGTCTGTGGGGAGTTCGGGCTGGCGCTCCCTGGAAGTGAGGCTGGGAGCGCACTAGCTGCTGCCCCTGCCCCCAGGGACCATCGAATAATTGTGTAACTGCTAAGATTTAGTGTGGTTACATCAGGCATGGGCAAAATACAGCACACCATGCCACCGGATCCGGCCCACGGAGCCCCAGGCAGGCTCCCCTGCTTGCACTGCAGCCCCGCACATTGTGCAGAAATGCAGCTGCAGGGCTTTATTTCTGTTTTGAAACTGGAGGGAGGCGAGAAGTTTTAGGAGCCGCCCCGTCCCCAGCACATTCCCATTGGTCAGTTTCTGGCAGAAACCGGCCAATGCGAGCAGCTTATTAGAATAACAGGCACCTAAGAAGAATCACGCCCCTTCTCTTGGGCTCAGTTATTCATGAAGCACATGGCCAGGCAAACTGTCTGGTTGGAAAACATTTGAAGCTCTGCCAGCCAGCAGGCTAGTTTTGCAGCTGACAAGTTAGTCTCTTGGCCACAGCCTGTTTTTGGCACCCCACTTTTAACAATTTGCTGGAGGTTGACTAACAGAGATATTTGGTGTCTGCCTATTACTATTATAGAGGACATTTACAATGTAGTGCACTTATATGGCTTCTCAAAACTCAGGATTCTGAGTACTTTATTTTACAAAGATTAACTTTCACAGCAAATCTGGGGAATGGGTATGCTGAATATTTTCCCTGTGTTATAAATTGGGAAACTGAAGCACAAAGAGGCTGTGTGACTGGCCCAAATTCACACAGCAAGCCAGTAGCAGAGCATTTGGGTCCTGACATTCTGTTGGACATACTATTTTTCATTTGGAGCTTAACTTAATGAAATGATAAAACTCAACAGATGTGCAAAATGATCAAATATGCTTTATAGAGTGAGCATCTGTGAAGCTAATTTTTGTAGAGTACATTGGAAACAAAAATGCATTTATAAAGAGTTACTTAGTATGCATACCACAGCTATCATCCATTTCTCCTGATTGTTCAGTAGTTATTGGAAATTGAGAGAGAGACTCTGAATGGAAATAAGTTCTTGTATATGGCCATAATTATAGTGATATAAAGATTTAAAATAATAGAAGATACCCATTTAACCAAGGAATAATTAAACTATTAAATAACTCAGGAGAAAACATCACTTATCCGCCAGCATCCAGGATTACAACTTTTTCTGACTTAATCCTTTATACACCAGAAGTCATTGTTTCCTATCATGTGACTACTACTGATGAGAATTTAGGATATCTGATGAATTACATGATTGGCTGTGCTGTCTTCTGTGCCAAGGTTATACTTGCAGCCTAATAAATCCCGTCTTTTGAGTATTTTGCTTGTTGCTATTCATATGGGATCACAGTTTAAGAGAGAGTTTGCTAAAAACGGCCATGTTGAAACAATTTCCTATGGGCTTGGATGTAACTTTGTGTGTAAGTCTTGAGAAGGGGAAAGATATGGACTGTGCCTGCATCTTTAGAAAACAGGAATTATCCACTACGGTCCCAGTTCAGGAAAGCACTGAAGCACTCTCTCTGAATAAGAATGCTTTCCGGAACTGGAGACTTGAAAAGTGAAATATGGGAATTCGAGAAACTGATCATTTTTTTTCTCTCCTCCAACCCCATCCTCACAGGTTGCGATGGTGGAGGTGCAATTAGAGATGCAGTATCCATACCCCCAAATGCTGCTGATTGCATTCAGTGCTTGCACAACAGTGCTGGTAGCAGTTCATCTCTTCGCCCTTCTCATCAGCACCTGTATACTTCCTAATGTGGAAGCGGTGAGTAATATACACAACCTGAACTCCATCAGCGAATCCCCACATGAACGCATGCACGTCTACATAGAGCTGGCCTGGGGTTTCTCCACAGTCTTAGGAATCCTCCTTTTCCTCGCTGAAGTGGTGCTTCTGTGCTGGATAAAATTTCTGCCCGTGGACTCCAGTATGAAAAATGAGACTACCAAAACCCAAACGTCCAGCAGCCATGCTGGCTGGCAAGCAGCTCTGGTCTCTACCATCATCATGGTCCCAGTGGGTCTGATTTTTGTTGTCTTCACTATTCACTTCTACCGTTCTCTGGTGCGGCACAAAACAGAGCGACATAACCGGGAGATTGAAGAGCTTCACAAACTGAAAGTGCAGTTAGATGGACATGACAGAGGGTTGCAGGTAGTGTGATCTGTTTCAAAGCAAATAATTTTGCTGAGGCAAAGAGCAAAATAAACATTTTGCTAACAGGAGCAACCCAAACCAATGATGGATTTTTTGAGGGTCTAACAGTATAAAATGCTAATTGCCTGATTTATAGGGTAGTGGGTTCTAGTGCTTTTCCAGACAATGGGTCTCTGGCCTATTTCTGGTCCTACACAAGTGTGTTCTTAAGTTGATACTGCCATACAGTTAAAAGCCCAAAACTTTACCTACTTTAACATTGTGTTCTGGATGGTTGTTTCCAAATTGTGATATTTTAACAGTGCAACATTCTTTTGCCAAGAATCAAATTACTTGATGCTTTAAAAAAACCACTGATTGTAGGACCTGTGTTTGGGTTATTTTTAAGTGTCAGAGCTCCCTTGCTGACTATGCATCAGCAAACTGACAATGACTGTTTCTAGGTTAAGGTGATAAATAGTGTTCTCTCTAAATAAGAGGGTGTTCTGAAAGTATTGCACAACATGTGTGTTTGTCACCTTTGTTATAAAATGGGCGTTACAGAATGATGCAAAGGGTTTGAAACCTGCATTCTTAATACATATGTCCTCCTTTTGCTATCCTCTTTTGCTATTACCTACCTCTCCTTTACAATAGGGGAGAGAGAATTTCGGATTGGCAGGAGGCTGGGTATCTGTTTTGCCAGCTTCGGTAATGTTCATTCTTTTACATCTTCTAATGTTACTGATAATTAAAGTTTGTGTGTCCAGGGAAGTCTTATTGGTATTTTCATTTTAACAACAAAGGCACTGTTAACGCAGGAAACTAACTTGGAATTTTAAAAGACCTGGTATAGAATTTCGAAGGACTAGAAAAAGCAGATTTAAAGGGTGACGAAAGATAGCACATAACATACTGCTGAAATCAGTCACTGTCTTTTTTTCATTTGCTTCATATGTACCAGAATGATTTGTGTGTTTTGCTGGCCTGGTTTGCCACAGAGGGCTCGGAGTCCAGGTCCATGATTTTCCCTTGTTCTTTGTTTGAGTTGTGTTTGAGAGAGGTCAGCTTTCTTACCCCGTAAGGAAGAAAGCATCTTGCATTTTCTCAAACTTCAGCACATGGTGTTGAATTTGGAGTGAGCTGCATCCAGTCTTTGCCATTCAAAAGGGAACAGTCTGTGCACTTAAAGTACTCTCACGTTTCATTTGTTGGCTTTATTTCATCAGGGGAAGAAGTGATTCTTGTTTGTGCTTAATGAGTGAAATTTGTAAAGTATTGCAGCATCTTTCTGGGTGACAATGTAAATAAAGTCACATCTAATTACAAGTAATTAATGGGCAGGCAAAATATAGTTCTTTCTACTTATTTCAGCTACAGAAATATGTCCAAATATGTAAACAAAATTGTCCTATCCTATCGCATCATGCTCAGTACTGTGCAGAATGCTGCCAATGCTAATTTCAGACTCTCTATTCCTTGATGTTCTGAGATGATTTTACAATTTCTGCCAGTTCTTGAATATTTCTAAAATAATTGAAGAAGTTTGTAAGGCCCTATTTAATCCCCTCCCTCTAGCCAGTGGTATTTAGTAAATCTAACATCAGTGTACTAATCATCGGATTCCCAGCTTGGAGTGTGTGAGAAATACTATGTACAGCAAGATGAGACTATAGCTTTAAATATCTCTCTGACAAGTTTCATGGGAAGCCAGTTCCAATCCTTTTTTTTTTTTTCTTTTTAAGTTCAGTAATTCCTGAGGAAACATTTAGCACTTGTCAGTTTTTTCAACAGTTATTTGTACTCTCATTAACAGGGGCTATGTTTACACAGGAATACCTACTACTTTCCAAATCTTCTTACTATATATTTTAGAAGTGTTCGTCTGTCTGAGAGACTTTTTGTTCAAGAACTCCTCTTAAACAGAAACAGCTAGAACCACCAAATTTGGTAGGCAGCTTCCTCTTATCATAACTGAAAGCAAGGTCAGGGTTTAGTTGTGGCAGGATAATGGGATACGCGTGGAATTGTTTCATGTCAAATGGAAAGAAGGGGTGTGATGGCAGGGACAGTTATACACATGCATGACCACAGCGGGCAGCAAGTACAAGGACAGGAATCACCACAGGGGAAGTAGCTGCTGGCCACCCACTCTGGAATGGCTACCTGCTCTGACTCCTGTACCCCCTACCCTCTGTCATGAGGCCCTCCACACTCCCCAGCTGTGACTCCTGCCCCCACAACTCTGACCTCCTGCCATGAGCCCCCCATGTCCCCAAGGCCCTGTGCTGACTCTTGCATCTCTCACGCTGCCAGCACCCCTGCCCTGAAGAGCCTGGGCAATGCCGGGCAAGTCTTGTAGTATACAATATAAGAATCTGTTTTCTTGAAGGAGGTGGTTTTAAAATTCCTGCTAGACCTCCTGAATGTAATTTCAGTGATCTTCCATGCCAAATGCTAATGCACTTCCTTATATGTAGCACCTCTATCTTAAGGATCCCAAATGTTTTGAATGTCACACAGTAATTTCTTCATCCATTATTGAGCTGGTACCACTATTTGACATTGCACAGGTACACTATGCAAGTTTTGGGACCGAACTTTAATACTGATTGCAGTTGAAATTGCTGGGATGGTTCAGGCGAGTTGAGGATAATTATCTGATTGGGAGTCTGGCTAGGACATTAGGGTTGAATTCTGTCCCACTTTACCTCTTTTCTCATCTCACCACAGTAAAAATTAGCATTGACGTGTCAAAACCAAATCCAGATCACAGTGATGAAAATTAGAGTTTCAAATGCAGTGCCATGACATTTTTCATAACCCTAAAGGAAATAGCGTGCCTAAGTTTGTCTACTAAGGACTGTCACCTGCAGGACAGTCAGATGATTTGGCTCTCCAGCCAAATCAGATTGTCCTCTGCCATGGCAAATAAAGTCCAAACAACAAGTATGATTGTGCCCTTTTCCCTCTTTTTAGGCCACAACTATGCCCTGTGTGGGAGGGAGGTTGCGGGGGAGGGGGCGGCTTTAATCCGTCCCCTTGCATCAGTAGTCCCTTTACTGCTTGGCTGAAGGAGTCTATGACATCCAGGCACACCACACCTCTCATCAGCTTCTTGCTATGGCTCCTTTCCAGCTCCTGCCCCAAGAGTAGTCGTTCCTCTTCTCTTCATCTTCCTCTAATGTGTCTTCATCCTCGCCACTCTCACATACAGACTTCCTGCTGTGTTGCTGAAAGATTTTGCACGCAATGTCAGTCACAGCTACAGATATCGAAGTTGATACAGAAAAGCATGTTCGGCAGTGTGGTGAAATTCAGGGCACCTCTGATTATATAGAAAGATGCCTGTGTTCTCCTCTCTCTCTTTTAATGCCACCAAACATCCGGCTGTGTGAAAACAATGAATCTGAGAATGTGGGCTTTTGTGAGGAAGCCTGGGAGAAGAAACAGGTTTTATTCTTGGCTATGAATACATTAAGGTTAGTGACTGTTCTGATTTCTTCTGGAAGTTCTGACAGACCAGGCTGGGTCTGGGCACCACTGAGGGCGTCCGCTCAGGGGGACTTGCTCAAAACCTGGGCTACTTACAGCCCTAGACTGGAGACCTTTCCCAAAACAGGTCACAAACCAGTTGCACAGAGCGCTTTATTTGCCAGTCCGGCCAGCAGGAAGCCTCACGAGCAAACCCCCTCAGACACGCCAGATCTCCCTATGCCTCAATGAGCCCTGTCTCATTGAACCCATCTCACCTACCCTGAATGGTCCCAAAGAACCAGCCACAGATCCCTGTTCAATTTATACTTTAGATCTTGCCCCCAAAAGCACACTGAGCCGATCCTTTAGAATCTAAAATCTAAAGGTTTATTAACAAAAGAAAGAAAAGGTTGAGAGTAAATTTGTTATGAAGAATACATTACATATATCAATCAGGAAGTTCTTGATGCAGGCTCTTAGCAGAGATGTTACAAATTGCTAGCTTCGAAGTCTTTGGTGTACATCGTATGTCAGGATGGGTCAGCAGTCCTTCCTAGCTCTCTATTCCTAGGAAGGCTGCACCTGAGATCAGTAGCAAGATTGAAGACAAGATGGAGCCCACCTCATGGCATTTTATATCCATTCCTGGTGTCTCCCAAGTTGGAGCTGGTCACATGATGGCATGTTTCACATTCCGGCAGCCACGAGATACTGACTAGTCTGCAGGTTTCCAGACGCATTGCTCAGGTGTGTATTGGGTCACCCTGAGTTCTTGTCCCCGGAGCCGTGCTAATTAGCGTAGTCATTCATTGGACATTTCTTCTTTACAACAGGCAGTCCAGGCCCATTGCTCTGTCTCAGGCAGAGAACATTCACAGTGCCCATATTCATAACTCCACATACAGACATCATACAAGTACACGAGCAGCATATATAGAATCAGTAGAACATAAGCTTTCATTTGACACCTCACATGGCCCCCTTTGTATAGACTTTGGGGCAAACCCCTCCCCCACCGTGGGCACAGCAGTGATCTGTCTGCTCATTATAAAACCCAGTAACATGACACAAGTGAATTCTACATTCTTAGTCCAGATCCTGTCTTCCATAGTTGCAAACTCTACAAACAGTTCTGAAGAAGTGGGCTGTGCCTACAAAAGCTCATGATACCATGTTTTGTTAGTCTACTGTGCTACCAGACCATTAGTTGTGTGTTAAGTTTATAAACAGTGTGCCATTGTTCCTATGGAAACATAGTGATTGTGAGACCCTTGTCATGGAGGTAGCTAATGTGGTCTCGGGGTAGGAATGAAAGAGTTGAACTGAGTTTCCTGTTAACAGTTAAACTCTGCTAAAGAGTCCATGGGGCTGACTGCAGGGCTGGCCTCCAGCACCCCGTCTATCCCTACATCACCAGGTATCATGTTTAACCATGTAACCGATATCATTTTGATTGGTTACACGGGTACTTTTTTTACATTCCTACCTTAGGGGTTTGGGATCAGTTCGGTGTAGGACTTTGAACATCAGGACTCAGACTCTGAACTGGACTGTCTTCATTGGGAAGCAGCACAGGAAGCAGTGTGGGGGGGGTAAAAACAGAAGAACAGCCAGACTGGGTCAGACCAGAGGTCCATCTAGCCCAGTGTCCTGTCTGCCGACAGTGGCCAGCACCAGGTGTTCCCAAGGAAATAAACAGAACAGGGGATCAAGTGATCCTCCTGTTGCCCATTCGCAGCTTCTAGCAAACAGAGGACATGAATATCATTCCTGCCCTCCTGGTTAATAGCCATGGATGCTTCTTGTTAACTTCTGTGTGTGTGTGTGTGTGTGTGTGTGTGTGTGTGTGTGTGTGTGCGCGCGCGCGCGCACATATCTAGTTCTTTTTTAAAACCTGTTATACTTGCGGCCTTCACAACATCCTCTTGGCAGGGAGTTCCACAGGTTGACTGTATATCATATGAAGAAGTACTTCCTTTTTTTGGTTTTAAACCTGCTGCCTATTAATTTCATTTACTGACCCCTAGTTCTTGTGTTAGGAGAAAGAGTAAATAACACTTCCAATTTCACTTTCTCCACACTAATAATTATTTTATATACATCTATCATATCCCCCTTGTCATTTCTTTTCTAAGATGAACAGTTCCAATCCCTAATAATTTTTTTTGCCCAATTCCAATATACCGTATTTTCCGGCGTATAGGGCGACTGGGCGTATAAGACGACCCCCTATCTTTTTAATTAAAAGATAGGGTTTCATCTTATACCCCAGCGCCCTTCCGCCTCCTTTGCTCCCGGTGTCCCTGGTCTGCTGGAGATGGTCCCCAGCAGACCAGAGGCACCGGGAGCAAAGCCGCCAGGACG